TGCCAGTAGCTGAGCCCCTGAGAAGAATCTCTCATTAGAGTTACTGTAATACAATCCCTTGTTCTTAGTCCCACTGGCACAGTCGAATGCAAATAAAATATCTACAAACTCTTGGCAACTTAGGGTTGGATGCCTTAGTGTTTTGAAGAGTTACTCCAGTTTAAAAAATAAAAATCAAAATTGGGCCTTTTAATATTTCTTTTGCAAAAGAAAAACAGGATGGGGCAGTTTGCATTGAATCATTGCAAGCAATCGGGTTGCTGCCGTCTAAGCACAGGTGACTTGACAGAACAGAGTTTTTTTAATACATCCAGTTACTTTCCATTTCTTCAGTAGGGTACCTGCCTTCATGCTTATTTAGGAAAGAGGAAAAAAAATAGCTAGGATGGTCGGCAAACGTCTTCAGAGCAAACACCATTAGTCGACTGAATGATCTGCCTAAGGAAGTGTTTCAGGGGCTGTCAGTTAGAGGAGTTTAAGAGGAGGTTAGAGAAAACACCTAAGGGAATAGCCGACAGGAAAATTTTGCTCCGTGCAGGGGCTTCGGAGAGTTGACCCAGGAGATCCTTTCTAGCTCCATCATCTGTGATGCTTTTTGGCATTGTTCTTCACATCCAGAATCCAGGCTTACCCACTTGGTGCCGATGGCACTAACACAACATGATGTCTCATACAAGTCAGCCTAAGGGCTGGTGCTAAATCAGATGCAGCGAAGCTGATCGGCGAGGCAGCCCTTAAGTAAACAGAAGCTAGTAATAAAAATATGGCTTTTGTGAGCAGTCAGGCCGTGTATTGTTTCATAGCCAGATGCATTACTCGCTAATCAGAAAGAAGGCTGGAATAGCTAATGGGAAGGGTGGACTACTGGCATACGCCCTTGGCACTCATGGCTTCCTGTATCTCACCAGGAGGAACTGGATAAAAGTAATTTTTTTAATCCTCAGTCAGGAAGATTCTGCTGTCCTTGGCCTAAATTTGACAAGCTGATTTTTGCTATCATTAAGTCGGCCAACCTGAGCATTTCCCATCTTGGGTGGGGCGGGGGCACTCCTATGCCACCTGTATATGGAAGCAGGGGCGTAGCCCAGGTGTTCCTGCACATCAGCGTGGCCCACACACCTGACACCATGGACAACCAGGTGTATGTCTCAGTGTCCAGCTGGGGCTCAGGGAAGCCAGAAAATGGCTTTGAGTTATTTTCTTCCAACTTCATCATAGCTCAGCTAACACCTCGTTTGCAGAAACACGGAAAAATCCAAGCTGCGAAAGGAAAATAAATTCAACATTTGACATTCCCAGATCCTCAGAGGGTGAAGCCAAAAGAGCTGAGAGCTTGAGAGCTTTAAAGTGAGGGAGGGAAACAGGGCATGTAAACACCGTGAGAAATGCTTGCTTATCAAAGACATCTACTGGTTTGTGTGATCAGACCCGGAAACTTTTTTGGCCACAATAAATCATTCCTGTTCTGGTGGGATAGTGATGTCAGTACAGACTGAGTTGACCATCATGCTGGACCTGCTTCTCGTCTTGCTTAAACCACTGCAGATCACCACTAATTGCATGGAGATCTGTGGAGTTGCACTGGTGTGAAACCTGTGATGTGAAAGGAGAATTAAGTCCACCAGGCCAGATACCCCGCCGGGATAAATGTGCACATTGACTTCCGCGGAAACAGATAAGGAACTGGCCCGTGATCTTTCATTTCCTTACATTCGCAAGCCCAGCACACATTATGTAGGGCCCTCTCATCAATTAAACTCTTAGATACCCGTAATTATGCTGTCATCACAAAATGCAGCTGTCTTCTGATATCACGGCCAAGAAGTAAGATTGTCAGATACGCGTTGAAGAGCTACGTGACAAATCACACAGACTGTGCAAACTCGACCGCTCTGCCTACATTGGGTCTACAAATCAAACCCCTGTGTGGACTCCCTAACTATCCAAATCACTAAACACGATCAAGCTTAATTTCCACATCATGGCACATTATTGACATTCTCTATCTGCAGCAATGAGCCAGACACAGTGAAGATATGGCAAGGTATGAATATGAATTGAAAGACCATATCAGGTCTAGCCTGGTATCCCACCTCTCGGCTCCAGGTCCTTGGGATACAGAAGAAACATGCGATAGGGCAGTCTCTAAACCCACCAGTGCCCAATGATTTGCAGAACTGAATGCCCCCCTCTACCAGCAGCAGGGTGCCACCAGAGTATAACTGCAGTTCCCAGCATAACTGCATCGTTAGCTTTATTCCTGAGAGTAAAGAAGGTTTAAGCCATCTTCCCAGAATAGCAGACGGTCTGCCACCTGTCTCCAGCCCAAAACACCCACCCACCTAAATTTCCAGGACCAACTGCATGGCATTCATTCATATCCAAGGGCTTCGACACGCTGTAGGTTAGTAGAGAATACGCTACTTCCTTTCAGTTGATTTAATCGCCATCCACTGCTCTAGCACACCCATCCACGCTGCACAAAGAACGACTGACCCAAAGAAACTTTCAGTATTAAGTTTGTTGTCTGTCAGTAGCCTTTGTCGTCCAGTTATGATTTTTACACTGATTTACCACCAAGCACTGTGCATACCTCTATATCACACTCATGGTGTTATCATACTTGTGTTATACTGTTCGTTCACATCATTGGGAGATTCTGTGCAACAAATCATGCGTGTAGTGTTTCCAACAAAAAGGGAACTTTGTCACTCTACGTGTATCCTAAAAGCAGCTCTTTTTATATGTAGTTTTTGTGGGGTGTCTGCAAAAAAGTGGAAATTATATTTATTCAGAAATTAAATAAGATGTAATCATTTTTAAAGTAAATTACAAATAGCAATCAGTCTCAGCAATGAAGGTCAAAAGAAAAAGGACATTAGCAATTGAAAATCTTCTTTCCCTTTAAACTTTTAATGCCTCATACCTGTTAATAATGGGAAATATCCTTTTCAAGACTACCATTATCAGAAATTGGGAGCATCATTTTGCTAATTCTAATCTTCTGTTAATGAAATAATTTCTTATAAAGGATTATATTAAAAGCATGGAGACTGAATGCCAATAGAAGCATATTGCCAATACAATAAATAGTTAATGTATTTTTTAAATGAATGATTTAAAATAGCTATTAAAGTAAAGAGAATGAGCTTATGTTTCTAGTAATGACTTCTCTTCTTCAAAATGAAATCTGTAAATCCCCGATTGCAATTTCACATCCCAAAAGAACAAGCAGTCCTGGGACCAGTGCTTATTGCCTTTATGTTTAATACCGGCGTACTGTACACTTGATTTTTATGTCATGGTTTTGAATATTTAGGTTTGTAGCCGTGTGTTCCTTTTTTATTTTAAACCCCATCCTCTTATTCTCTCTGGCACTCATAAATAATGGTCTCCTCCAGTGAAATATATATTTTTTTGTACATACATACATGCATGTATACACACAGATATTCAATATAAGTACAATTTTATTCATAAGAGTGCATAATGATTCGGGCTGTGATTGTTAATAAAAATGCATTTCTAACCATCACATTTGAGTCTATTATTCTAAGTTAATTGCATTTGCCCTAAAGAGACTTGCAACTGGCTGTCAGCCTATTTGTGTCAGCTTCATTTTATTCATCAGTCAATCTTGTCTTCTCTTTTTTTCATCCCATATATTGATCAAATAGATTTGTTAGCATGCCTCTGTAGCTTTAAAAAGTTTTTTGTTATCCATCAGGTTTATTTGATTACTATATTAGTGTGCATGTTATCTTAATTGATATTTCAATAGCAAATAAATGCCCTTTTGATAGTCCCACAAGATTCCCATTAAACATACTCCATGCACGTAATTTGTTACAGCAAAGTTAGTGAAAAAATAAACATGTTGCACCTGCTTTTATAAAGACGGTGTTAATCTACAGCAGTGCTGCATTTGAGGCATAGGCTTAAAAATATCAGTAGAAATAAATACAGGATGAAAGTCAATTTTGATAAACTTCAGTGGCATATCAATGCACATTAGCACATATAAACTGCTTTAAAAGAATACATTAGGTACTATAAAATAAGATAAGGCCATATTCAGAGCAGCGCATTTTAAGGAGAGAGCGGGAAACGAAATAAGATTATAGGAGCACAAGACTGAGTAAAAAAAAATGATCAAGGAAGCTTCGAGTGAAACAAGTGGAAACATGGGCCAAATTGCTTGCAAGGGAGACAAAAGCGAATAGGCGTTTACTAAATCGAAGCGGACCAACTAAATGGTGAGCCTTTCTTCTTCCATTAAGGATGTGATTCTGCACGTATTGAATGAAGTAGAAGCTTTGCAGTAGAAAACTCCTACGATGAAATCCATCCCCAACCCTTACTTCCCCCCTTCCTCCTCCAACTGAAGTCTATGGGAGTTTTGCCATTGCACCAAAAAAATTCCCCGTCTTCTCCAAGGAAGAAATAGTGCAGTGAGTTTCTCCATACGAGAGCCAGATGCTCATTGCTGCAGACGCTGTCAGTAGGGACTGCACTGTTCAACTCTGGCTTATACCAGTGAACACATAACCCCTGATTTTGGAACTGCGTGGGTAGATGCCCAAGTGGCAGGAAGTTCATTTGACTTCAGTTTGGAGGGCTGGGGGCTTAATCTTTGCCCTGGGAATACTAGAATGCAAAAGCGCTTGCCAATGTAAGCTCCACAGCAGAGCCCTATTGGCCAGATTTCCCAAAGATCAGCGCTTGCATTCAGAGCCAAATTTTCAGGACTCAGCTGTCGCTTCATATAAAAAATAATTGGCCAGATTTTTAAAATACACTGCACGCTCAGGAGAGCTGGTTAAAAAAACAGGGACGATTTTAAGCAAAAAATGTCTCTCTCTGGATTTGATGGGAAAAGAATCTGAGATTTACTACCGGCTCTCTGGCCCATCAACAAACAGGATCAGTTTTTCGAGAGAAAAATCTGTTTTTATTAAAAAGCTTTAAACTAGTTATTTTTCCATCAGTTTGTTCCCCCGAGTCCATTTGATAAGTTTGGTTAATAAGCGTGGCAGCGGTAGGTAGTGGGTCCTGAGAACTTTTGAATGCCTAGCTTCAACTTTCAGGCACCGAGCACTTGAAAATCTGCCTGGTTTCTTTATATTTCTTGTCTTCACCAGGCTCTTTGCGAAAGGCTTTTCCCAACATTTCAGACTTTCTCCTCAAAGTGACACCAGCAATTTTAAAACTCAATTTGCTCTAAACAAAAATCAGCTCCGCGATGGCACTGCAGCTGTTATAGCAATATTTTTGAGACTCAGAGGTGTGAAGAGAGATGGACAAGCACTGTGTTTCAAGTTGCAGCGCTATGTCTAAATAGTACCAAATATAAAGAGAAACAGATGAGAAAAATACAACTTCAACATTTTGGGACAACAAAGAAACAGGGAAATGATTGCTACACAGAAGACATTTCAAAGACCTCCCAGAATAGCAAGCATAAAAATCCCCAATAAAAAGGCTCAGCAAGAAAACTGTCACACCCCCTAATCCTCAACAGACTTTAACAAGATGTTCACATGAGCCAGAGATTGTCTCCTTCGCTAGAAGACAAAAGGCTCAGAAAACAATACTGTCTAGCATAGGATTAAGAGGCAAGAGATAGATAAAAAGGATTCTTTAACCCTACAATTAGAAACCCCAACTCTCCAGCCAAGAGGATAATCAGAAACATGCTGAAAACCTATGTCACAAAAATTGTTGTACCTTTCTTTACTCTTTGAAAACTGATATTTTTATTTATATATATATTTCACCTCCCCTGAGACACGCTTTGATGACCACTTGAGTACCGACAACTGCTACCAAACCACAATGCAGCACATATGGCAATAACATTTTGTTTCCCATAGTTCATATTTCCATCGCCACCCACCAGACAAAAATTTGATTACAGAAGCTGGAACCAACTTTCCAAACAGGAGATTCCTGTAAATGTACAGCAAAAAGGAAAATTAGGCATACTGCAGTATTTCTCTGATGAACAATTGGCTTCCAGTGACCTAAAGCAGATATGAATACGGATTCCTCATGCCAAACATACTAAAGTCAATAGATTTTTCTCTGGTTAAAATGGAAACAACTTATCTAACGTAACGGACACCCGGAGTTTTATTTGGCGTTACTAATGCTCTGAGTACTGGCAAGCATAAAAATAAGATTGCTAAAATAAATCCAGAAAACCTGAAGGTTGGAAAGATATTCAGGAACCCATTGAGTTTTACCCAGTTCTTGCAGCTAACTAGTGGCCATCAACTGTAACAGCTACAGAAGTAACAAGCAGCATAATTCATCACAGGCTAAACTTTCTGGAGCTAAGTAAAGCAAGACATTACAAACGACTGATAATTTCATTTATGTGGCATAACAAAAAAAAAAAAAAAAATGTAACATATGAATTTACCCTTCATTTGCCACATACAGTATGCACATATTATGCCCATTTTACAGAAGGTAAATCAAGGCCTGCCATAGCTAAATGAACTTCCCAGGTTTGCATTTAAAGTAACATAATAGTTCTCAATTTTAAATTGTAAGACTTACAGTTTCCAACTGGCAGTGAGCTCTGCTATGTAATCTTCTACCATAGGCAGGTTTGAAGCACTGAGAAAGGAAAGGGAAGCCAGCTCGTTACACTCATCCTCACTTGCAGGATACTGGTGAAATCCTCTTCCCTTGTCATTGAGGTTCAGGGGAAGTTTTCCTGGGCAAAGAGTGAGCACCTTATAATTTTATGTTAAGCACTTAGTGCAGCAAAGACTGGGATCTGCAACTTTGCCCCTTCCAGATAAGGGCCATAACACTAGGTATAGTCGTGCCCGCACACTTTCTCAGTAAGTATACAGATCAGCTTCGCCAGGAGGGACTGCGAGTGCTCCTCTGCAGAATACTCTTTACCTTGATGATTAAGGCCCTCTCCTGGGAGATGGGAACTCAATTCCCTCTCGGGCAGAATAGACCCTGGCTGAATGCGGCAACCACTGCACTGTTGGACACAACTACTTTGAAAGCAGGGACTTGCCTCTCTGCAGTTCCCTGATAGAAAATGTGTAGGTCTTTGACTCCAGGAAAGGGCTCTGAGCTCTGGATCCTCTTTGAAAAGGGAGATGCTTCCCTTCAGGCAACAGCAAGCACCTAAGCCCTGGAGATAGGCAGGGCTCAAAACATACTTCTTTCTTTAGCATTACCTACTAGGTACCTTAGGTAGCTCCCCATTTGGCATACCAGCTTTTTTAGATTCTGGCAATAGGCATCTAATGCTCCCCACACATTGAATAGAGACCCTAGGCATCTAACTTTGATTTTGTGAGCTGAGTTAGCTGGCTAAGAGCCTAAAATGCTGGGCACAGCAATGCTCAATGTAGCAGTACCCTTCTCTTTATGGATATAATACATTGCCTCTGTAATAATAATAGTGGGACTTTAGCACACATGTTTCTGTTTACCAACATGTTGGCATCCACGTTGCACTAATGATGCTACAAAATCCAGCCTCACACATATACGAGCGTTTCTTACATACTGAGTTCCTTCTGTCTGATTCTTGTTTTCCAGAATTGGGCAGTCCTATCTTACAGGCTCTCGGAGACTCAGGTAAGTCTGAATTGCTCTTCTCCGTGGTGAATATTAATTGATATTGCTGTAATTATAACCATTTAAATGGAGCCTCTCATGCAGAAGAGAATGTTTAATTATTTTACTATTATGGTCTAGGGAACTGACTGTCTTTATTGTTTGTCTTTATTACTGATCTGTCATCTGGTTCAGGTTTTGGCTCAGCTGTAGAATGTGTGCATATATTTATTAGCATCAGCTTAAGATATGCATTAAAAAAAACGTATCCACTTCAGCCCTAAAGGACAAATGGGTATGGGCCACAGTAGGGTATGTTTGGCTGAGCTGGAAATTTTGCTAGGACGCCCAAGTTCAAATCTTGTGAATATTGCAATGGATTTCTTAAGAAATAGCCCTGGGGCTCAGAATGTGAGCTGTGTAAAATTCCCTTGCTTTGGGGTGTAGGACTTCAGTGGCCTAAACCCAGTGGTTTGCGTGGGTTGTTGCAAAGTTGAAAACTGCAAGCAAATATCACAGGCTTATTTTGTGCTTCAACAAGAGACGTTAACTACCACATACCCCAAGGAATATTTCTTCCTCCTAGCTTTATTTAGTTGGGGGGCAAACAGAAACCACCTACCTTTTTCACAGGTGGCCAATACTTGCTGTGTACAGAGACTCTCTACCTCCTTCATCCGATCTGAGGCGTTTTGAAGAGAGAATGAGGCTGTCTACTTTTTCTTCCCCCGCACAGTGACATCAGGACTGGGAAACATTCAGTTAGTCCCTCTACTTCTGCTTGTAGCCTTTAGCTGGAGATGTCCCAAGCAGAGCCAGGCTCTAAATTCTCTCTCTAGGGACAGAAATTACACATAAACCAGTATAAGTGATAAGAGACCAGTTCAAATCTGTAATACAACAAGGCTAGGGACAGAAGTTACACATAAACCGGGATAAATGATCGGAAACCGGTTGAAATCTGTAATACAACAGAAGTTCAGTTCACAGAAACCACTTTCAAAATGGCCAAAACCAGTTTAAGATAAAACCTGGATGGATGTAGCATCAGACTTCACTGATTGAAACTGGTTTATTGAACTTCTGTCTCAGATCTCCTCCAGATTCAAGTCAACTCACAGTCCCCCAGGATGCTTTGCACTCCTCCCGCAACCCCCCCCGCCCGGGCAGGCTAGCCTTGGCCCAAGCTGTCTGCTCCAGCCCAGCAGGGAGGCATGCTCTAGCGTCCCCTAGCTTCTGGCCTGGACCACTGCAGGCATGTGGCTGCGTTTCTTGAATCAAAAGTGAATATCTGTTCACTTGCTTATCGGTTCAATCTATACAGTTTAGACTAAACTGTGAAGATTGAATCAATTCAGCCTTGGGCCTTTTGACTGTTTGTACTTATCCTTTGAGATCACTGAAATGACTTTGCCACCCTATCCCAATGTAATCCTCTCTTGTCTGCAGTGCTGTAGTAGGGGGAAGGGGCAAGCAGGGCAACCACCCTAGGTGCCAAAGCAAAGGGACGCCAACAGGTGCTACCTAGCTGGGGCAGGGCACAGGACGGAGCTACAAGTGGCTCATTTTGGGGTGGCATGGGGATGGGGGAAGGGTGACTCCTGCCACTGCATGCCCTGCCAGGCAAGCATGGGGGGGGGGGGGGCAAGGCCCCCCCGGGTCGTGGGG